AGCTTGTCTGCCTGGATGCTGGTATGAACATCTGGAATAGTTGGTCTCGCTACCTGAAAACTACTGCTGCTGTTGTATTTTAAATAATTATGCTAATAATGAGTTGCACATATTGATACTAATAACGCTTATACTAACATTATTCTGTTACAAATTTAATCTGCAGTTTCACACTATGACCACTGGAGGGCACGATTGTGAATACACTCAGGTGTGTCGACGCCACCTAGCGTCACGGCAGACACAATATCATACTAACACTTGGAGTAAAAAAGTTCAAAATGAAACGATTAACTAATCAAATTTTACAACACTAAAATAATGTCTGAACTAAACTTCACAAATTATTAAAGAGTATTAAAGATTTCACAACATAAGCCTTAACCATAAACCTTGGAATAACCCTGTGATAACAGGGTGGGGATATGGGTTTGGGTCATATTTTCTTTGAATGGAATTAGTTGTTGTCTTTTATTAAAGGAGAAATCATGTCATAGGAGCCAGACACTATACTTTTGAGGAATTGAATATGATGTACATCTCATGTTTAATTATTTAACATAGGCTACAGGTGGAAGGAGTGGGCATTTGTTTTTTGCTTTCGTCGTACCACAAGGACTTCGGATGACGTCACTGGATGACTCCTTCAAGGACTGGTGCTGTGCTGACAGACTTTTGAACCATGTTTTGAACACTGCACAGACGATGCTGTGCATTTGTTTAGTCTGTGCTGTTTTAGTTCTTGTTTATGAGTTTATTTTTTTTCTTTTGTACTTGTTAACGATGAAAAGAAACAGTGGTGTTTCTAATATTCTGTCCATTATCAAGAATGTAAATGGAGGTGGGCAAAACTTTCACAAAAGCAGTTTTTATTACAGGGCTCGATGCAATGCTTTAGTAATTCTTCACAGCTTTGATATGCACTGACTATATGTCAGAGAGACGTTCAGCTCTGGTCTGCAGTAACTTCACCAAGAGCACATAGAAATATTCCAACATTTTAGGCTGGGTGCATTCAGTTGTGTGATTGGTCCAGGTCATGTTAAGCCTATTAGATCCAACACTGGAGGCAGGGGGAAACTGCCAGCCTATATAAACTAGAATTATCGTCACGCGGTTGTACCCTTCCACCGGTCAAATTGCAGTTTACATCCATGTCTGCTGACAATGATTATTGTTGTTGAACTGATTAATGAAGGATTATCATAGATTTATTGGCTAAACACATACACATTTACTGAGTAAAGATGGAGTCTTAATACTCACTAACAAGATCAGATTAACTAGGCACACTCCAATACATTGTTGCAGTCAGAATTCAGAATCAGGCAGGAAGTGAAAGGCAGAATGGACAAGATGGAGGATAGCCCATAATGTGCTAGTTATTGTTTACCCATTGTGCCATCCAAGTCAATGTGTGTGAAATCTGAGTCTGAGAAATCTGAGTTATGGTGTGGCCAGAAAATGACATTAGGATGTCACAGTGAAGTTGACCTTCTAATCACTTTGAGTCCAAGTGGACATTTGTGCCACATTTGAACAAATTCCCTCAAAACGTTCCTGAGATATCACATTCATGATAGTGGGACGGATAATCTCTTCCAAGCTCTAGAGGATCTTATTTACGCGTTGCATTTTGTTAGCAAGCTAGCTAGCCGTCATAGCCGTTCAAGAACTACTTGGGTTTTGTTCAGATTAATATACATTAGACAACTTTATAAGTAAAGCAGAGTTTCAGCTGCCAAATAATAGAAGTTACTACTTTCTAGTGGACTAAAAAAGCAATAGATTTTATTATTCTAGTACCAAAAAGTTAAAAATCCTATCTTCAATTTATATAATAAAATATCGATACTTGGCATCCGTGTATCGATACAGTATTGCCATGGCAAATATCACGATACTATGCTGTATCGATTTTTTCCCCCGACCCTAATGTCTCTCACTCAGTGATTCAATGTCTCAATTACATTCACTGTATTGATAAATTTTTGCTGACAGTCAAGTGACTGCAATGCATGTTATTCCTCTGCTGCGATGAAAAGATAAGAGGAGACTTCTCCAGGACGGTGTTGACAAGTGACCTCATCGGGAATCAATGATTGTATCTGTGACCCGTGGGGGGAGGTGGGGTGTACTATAAACAGCTGAATGATCTAATTACAAGCTATGGTTCATCAGCGGTAATCGCAGCATATGGAGACAATCACTCAGAGGCAATCCATCAAATGTTATCCTGCAGGATGCTTAGACTTGTTGCAGGAGGATGAAAGTTGCAAAGTTGGACAGAGAAACAATAATCTCTTTTACAAAGGCCAAACATACAAGCATGTTAGTTTATTTGATTGATACAGATTACCTCTAACAAACACGGACTGTTTTTAAAAGATGCATAATATTTAAAGATGTGCTGTTTTCAAAGAGAAGCAAAAAGTGACACGTGAGTGATGGGAAACCTTGAAAGTAGAATTATGCATGAAGCAGGTAATTATTCACATGTTAAATGTTCCTCAGTAACATTTCACCCCTCCCGCACTATGTTGAAGAGCACTGGTGATGCAAATTCAAACCGAACCGAATTTTTTCAGCTACAATGTCTTTAAATGGCCCTCTAAAATCAGTCCTCCTCTCCCCACAGGTGGAGCTCACTGCCTTATTAAAGAACCCTTGAGCCTTTGAGCTTGGTTTCTCAAATCACCAAACCTCTCTGACCTCATTAAATCCAGAGCACATCAAATTGCAAATGTGATTCAGCAATGATTTCAAGGCAACACAATAAGCTAGAGGGTTGGTTAAATGACAAAAGTACAGGGGAACAAAAGGTGTTGGCAGAATAGTTTAAAATAGCTCCAATATAAAACGAGCTAATAATAGCTACTCTACTACTAGTTTACTTGCTCATACACAAAAACAATAGTTTAGCTAAATGTAATACAAAATGATCAAATCAGATCATAGCAGTTTAAAAGTTTCCCTCTGTTTATCTTCTTCTGTCTGTGGTCTGTAGTTTCCTTTTTCCTTTAAACACTGTTCAGATAAAGTCACAATTAAATGAAGGGGCCATGCGTTTTTATAGAGAGGGATCCTGATACATTTGGCTTCATGTTAATCCAACACAAAAAAAGTCAGAATCCAAAGCCATTGTAGAATCAATTCACAATAAGCCTTTCAACATCCTTTGTGAAAGAGAGTGACTTCCTGCATGAGTTTTGCAGTATGATGAGCTGAGTGAAACGCAGATCTTTCATTTATAAGCACATGCGTGTTTGAGCATGGTCATGCAGGGCCATGCATCATTCTGTTGGATGTGGGAGTTGACTGGGTGAAGGCTCGGAGCTCCAGAGTTTGGATGTGGGGTGGTTTGACTATAGCTGAAGATTAAGATAGGCTGAAAGTAAGTTTTAAAGATTGTGTGAATTAGTTCTTGGTGGCTTTGTGTGAAATGCTGCAGACAGCAAAAAGGACAATGGAATGTGTGGTTTTGAAAATAAAATTGATATTCTAACATTTTTTTGTATTTTGCTGTTAAATTTGTTGCTCATCTTTTTTTTGTTGATCAGCTAAATAACTAATTGATTAATCAACTAATCATTTCAGCCCTAAATTTTAATTCACCTTAAACAACAATCTACAGGCTTTGTGAGCCAGTATTTAGGCACAGCAGATGTTTGAGCTGAACACACTCACAGCGACATATGATATTGGCATATGCTAAGATGCTCATGTTTAGCAGCTAAATGTTTACCATGTTCACCGTTTTTGTTAAGCATGGAATCACGTAACATTTGCTAATTAGTGCAAAACGGAAAGTACAGTTGAGGGTGATGGGTGTGTTTTGATGTAAAATCAAGGGATCAACAAAATCAATGGGATTCATCCTCTGCAGACCATGACTTTCTGGACAAAGTTTTCATCCATCCAAAATTTGTTGAGATATTTTAGTCTGGACCAAAGTGGCCGACCAACATCATTGTCATCTCTAGTGCATTGCCTAGCTTAGCTTAAAATGCCCATCTCATTTCAGTATTTAATCAAGATAATTTTAACATTTTGACCTGGGTTATCATAATAAGACAATTTCATATTAACATCCAGTTCCTTCTGTTTATACTAAAGTATATTATACTAAATTGACACATCCATATAGTCTTTCTTAACCACATGTAATCTGCTCTGATATTCACAGGCAGCAGTGTCAACCCACTGCCTATCTCATCTCCTGTTATTTAACATGACCTTTAACTAGAGGTGACCCCGGTGAAATCCCACAGAGTCTTCAGCATAATTATTATAGAGGAGCTTTCAGAGGGGAAACAGCTCTAGAGAAGGACCACTAAAGAACAGGCGGATTGATTACCAGCCGTCAGAAATCCAATGTGGAGTTATTCACCGTGGTTACAATTAAGCAAGGGATATTATTTCACCAGGAGGGGTTTGCAGGTGTCTGATCTGATTAAATGCTCACAACAGTGAATGGATGATTCAGGTGCTGTCGGGGCTCATACAGTCAGAAGTGCGGTTTGTTCCCACATAAAGCTTTATCTTTCCCTTGTGTGCATACTGTAGTTAAAGCAGGATGGAGCAGACAGTTGATTAAACTGATGATGATTTGTTACAGTAACACTCTCTGTCAGTATTTCTTTCTCACATACTCTTTCTTGCTTTTATCCCCTTTATCTCTTTGTCCTTGCCTCAGTTTTTCTCTGTCTAGTCTGTGCACATTTATGTTCTTCCTTTTACCCATATTCATCTTCTAAATGCCGTAGTCGCTCCCACTTTCCTCCTGCCCTTTATTCATGTTATTAGATTTAATGCTCAGGCTTGTCCTTGTCAAGTCCCAGACAAGATTCCCTTTTTATGTGTACTACACATTTTCTCTGGTGTCTCTTATTTCAGGTTGTTCCTTTTTTTAGATTTCCTCACCCATAATGCCTTTCTGCGTGTCTAACAGCTATTCTGTCTCCTCCCTCTCTTGTCTTTTTATCCTTTATTGTTACCAGGCATGGCTGACTGAGATCCACGAGTACGCCCAACAGGACGTGGTGCTCATGCTGCTTGGGAACAAGGCAAGGCATTATTGGAAATAATTGTGACTGTAGGTAGAGACACAGTGGAAGAAAAAATAAATACTTGAGATACATGCATACTAGGGCTATGTATCAAACTTATCAAACTATAATTATTATTTTTGGTACCAACTGAAATTTGTCTAGAAAATGGGCATTTAATACTTTGTGTAATTCTTAGTTTACATATTCTTTGAGATATTTCCTGACCTAAATAAAAAAGTTCTAATTTTCTGGAGTTCTGGTATGGCAGCTTGGGAACAGTGAAGAATTTTTGGGATATTTCGGGCAAAAATATGTATTAATTTGCTAACAGGTCCTACGAAATGATGAAAAACAACAATGAAATTATCCTACCAAAATGTAGCCTAAAATAACTTCGCTGTGCTATGGGAGCTCCATCCACATAAGTGTGTCACACTGTTGCACTTGGTGACATGTTCCTTCTTTACGGTGAACGTGGGCCCTGTATTTCACAGTCCTGGTCCCCCAAATACTCACTAGAGCGCCAAAAGTGTGTTGATCCATGGCCAACAAATACACTATTATTTTGCCTTTTTTTGATGAAAGTGAATTATTTCTTCAGTAGGATACAATGGGCCACAGTGCCACAGACAGGGCAGGGAAGTCAGAAAGTATTTAGAGACAGACTGACACTCTGTTGATTTTTGTCTTTGGGATTGTGGGATGGGATTTGTTGACAACAACAAAAGTATAGAATAACACAGCCTTATGTTTGGTATTGAACAAAATGGAGTTTCGGTTTATGGACCAAAGCTCATGTGTTTTTACTGGCATCAGCAATGCTACACAGCTCCAATAAACAAATTGACAGAGTCAAACAGAGTATATGTATAGCACATTTAAAAAAGGAACCAAATGGACTAGAAGCGAGTCCATCATTGGTTCTATTTGCCTGAATATATTTCTAAATGCACAATTAGTCTTGTTTATTTCAAGCACGCATCTGACAATATCTCTGCTAATTTGCAAATATCAGTGTTACACATTTTTTCTATAACTGCCATTCACATTCCTCCCTCAGAACACAGAACAGATGTCTCTGCCTTGGAGCTCTGTCTAGTTTCAGTCCCCCCATACTCCATATCGTCCCTTAATTAGCACCCTGAGAGTCAATCTTGACTCATTAGCTGCCATCAGGCCTGAACACCAAGAAAGGCTTTTAAGTAAACTGTGGACAAATATGTGAGCAGATCTCCATGGCTGGATTTTGTGTGTGTGTGTGTGGGGGGGGGGGGGGGGGGGGGGTAGCCCTGATGTTGATCCATGATGCTTGCATGTGTGACCTTGCTTTCCCTGTCTCCCCAGGCCGATGCCACTCATGAGAGGGTGGTGAAGAGAGAAGATGGCGAGAGGCTTGCAAAGGTGAATTGCTGAGAATTCACAAAAATAATGGATGTAATTTTCATTGTCCAGATGTCACAGTCACTTCAACAAGAAGCTGCACCCTACATAACCAGAGGGTTTTCAACACACCTTTTAATTCTAGTGAAATCAAGCCTTGTATGTGACCAATGAAGGCAGCGATTTCTCCTTTCATCTAATTTTCCAAAGGTATTTGTATGACTGATTGGATTTCTACAGCAGATGAGAAGATTATGAATATTACAGAAAGGTGGGATTATCTAGAGATCAGTTGTATTTTTCACTCTTGCTCTTTATTTCATTGATTTCTTTCTGCTCTGTGAGGAAAATGTACCGCCTGCAAAACAAAAGATAGGTCAAAAAAACGCAGACACCTCAGATGCTGGGCCGGATTATCCAATGGGCATTCTGGGCCAGGGACCAGGGGCCCATGCGTACTAGGGGCCCAAGCAAGGGGAACAAAAAAACTACGCTGAATCGAGCAGACTGTGGGAATCTTTTTATATACAGTCTATGGTGGGAATACGCCTGTCAAAGTTCAAAATGAGTGAGAGAAGTGGTTGTAGTAAACGTATACAAACCGTGAAGAGGAGGAGAGGGAGGGTCTTTAATGAGACATGTGCCATCTATTCAAATTTGGGTGGTGATGGAGCAGTGGATAAGACACATGCCATTGATGTGAGAGACCCGGGTTTGAATCCACTGTGAGACACCAATGTGTCCCTGAGCAAGACAAGTTGCTTTGGATAAAAGCGTCAGCTAAATGCAAAGGAAGAGAATCAGGAAGAAGAAGTTGTGGAAGATGACCAAAAATGATGAGCAAGCTGACCAGAAGAGGCTAGTGCCACCCCACAGATTTGAATGGAGAGCAGTGAAGCCAGTTTTGGACCAATGAAATAATAATAATAATACAGGGCTACTTACTGTTGGCACCAGCATCTACTGCTCATGATCACACAGCATAACTGTGGTTTAATGACGTAGAGCAACGACAGAAACACCGTAATTGTGGTAGCTGCATAACTGCGGCAACAAAACGTTTCATGGCTAAGTGTGTTTGTCTGACTCGGATCGTGACTGTTTAGTCAGCTCACCTACAAGGCTCACCTGCCGAACACCAACACAGCGTCTCTGATGGCCGAATTTTTGTTTTGATTGCTGAGAGTTTAATCTAAGCAATACGGTTACATCTCATGTGCGACGGGGTGTCACAGGGTTTTGACGTAATTTTCTGGGCCTGCATGGATCCCTCCATGTAGGCATTGGTTGACTTCACTGTCCTATCTCTGGCTTACCCCCTTGGTTAGTAGCGCACCATAACATCAAGCCCAGGCTAGCAGCGCAGTCATACGGTCTATGAGCGCAGCGCTAGCTGTAGCAACAGCAGCAGCGCACAGTGGATTTATCAGGTGTGTGACCCGGTATTAGATCGTGGAAATATCCAGCCTCAGCCCGTGATGAGGTTCAAGGGGTAAGGTGAGCTCGTTCAGCAATGATCTGCTGTGTTGTTCACTCCCAAATGGGGAAAAAGTTTACAGAGAGTATTCACCATCCACAGGTAATTTTAGCTTTGCCTTTATGATTTATTCAACTAAGAAAAGTCTATTTGTTGGTGTTTTTCTGACTGGAAACACGGAGATCATGTGCGTGAGAAAAGCACAGAGCACTGTTGTTACATTTTAGCATTCGGAGCTCATCTGTCACTGTGAGCGGGACTGTGAACCTAAACTAACAACAGCTGGAGGAAGAAGCGGGAGGAGCTCAAGCGGGTTGTCATTAAGTTTTTAAGTGAAAGAGGGTTGTCTTTACGTGGCGACAATGAAGTTGCCTATTTTCTGTATGTGTGTGAATTATGGATGAATCTGATTCATAGAACTGGATTACAGGCGAGGCAGTATGTGTTTTACAAATGTGATACAGTAAGCAGGGACATGCATTGATATTGTGGTTGTTGCAGTCATGTGGTGTAAATCCTGTATGATGGAGGATGTATAACGTTACAGGTGTTAATCAGTGTAAATCCTGTAGAGCCCGACCATGTGTGTTTTGGGGGGCAGATGCTGATATTAAAGTGAAAAAGAGCTGATTTATAAACTGATATTTTGATTTTGAAAATGATTTGGATAGTAGACCCGTTTCCTGTATAAACTACTGACTACTACAGGCCGATATTGAAAGCTGTTCTGTATGTGGACTATAAAACCTTTTCCTTAATGGATTATGTTTAAATGCCTAATATTACAGTCTCAACAACTGAACATGTAAACAGCTGCACATCAATAAATATTTGCTGCTAGAAAGTGCAGAGAGAGAATAAGCATGTGTTTTTGACCTTACACATAATCTGCCATAATAAGCATATTCACATATCCCTTTACCAGCACTCCTAAGTCTAACCAAAGCTACGAGAAACCATTTCTCAACCACTACATGACAACAACTCTGACATTTCACACGTTGCGAATTTAAAAGAGGAGCTAACTATATTGCATTAACTAGATTTATGGCTAATCTAATTTAGCAATGGGCAGCGTTAGCTGCTGTAAGCGATATTGGAGAATTTTTAAGTAAGTCAGTAAGTAAGTGACGAACTAGGGAGAAATGATAGGACCCTTCGCTAGAACTGCCACACTGTTTCAGAAATAAATCTACAATCATGTTTGTCAACAGCGTAGCCTCCACCACTCACCTACTGTAACGTTAAACATACTGCTGTGACCCGGGAGGAAACGGGAGAGGGCAGTAAAAAATGGGAGTCTCCCAGGAGGGTTGGTATGGTCATGAATGTTTCAGGCTTATTTGGGCTAAGAAGATGAGTGCTATTTTTATTATTTAAGTAATGTATTACACATGACAAATGGCCAACCCATCGTGAACTCATTTGTTGGTTCTGATTGCTCTGCTCGATTCTGGTCAGCCTTGTTGCTTTGTTTTGTGGTGAATTTGTGGCGCTGTTATCAACGGGGGAGTTGCAAAGCACATGTGTGGGTCGGCGGGTGAGCGCCCTACAAAACTTTGTGCCCAGGGGCCTCTGACTTTTTAATCCGGGCCTGCTCAGATGCATCGCCCTCCTGTAGATAATGAAACATCTGAATTAATATTTATAGTATAGATTCCTGCCTTCTGTGTCATCATCTATAAAGGCTTGAAGACCCTCTCCAGAACATTCAGTCAGTCATAATCAGTTTTATAGGCCTTGTTTCTGTGATAAACCTCAGTGCAGCCACAAATGCAACCACTAAGCACCGAAACCAGGAATAAACATTTCTTTTTATCGACCTAACTTCACAGAATGGCACACAAAACAAATAGCAAACAGCCAAGTGATTCTCTCCAGGAGCGGGAGCAATAAAGTACCACTAAGTAACTTAAGGCTCAGCCTGGGAAGGGGGGGGGGCACATCAGTTATCATCACTGTGTGCTGAGGAGACAAATTCCCCTGCAGAGGAAAAGCTGGGAGACAAATCTATAGCATCCAAGCTGGATTTATCCAGTTCTCTATTGTGCTGTGAAGTTCTGCTGTAAACGTACACATTTTTATCCAAAAGCAATGATTTTTTTTTGCAGCAGATCACAGAAGCAGCAGCCTGTTGAAAAGTATTAAGTGAGTGAGCATCTTCAATAATGTGATTTCTTTGACTGCAGGAGTTCGGAGTTCCCTTCATGGAGACCAGCGCCAGGTCAGGTCTCAATGTAGAGCTGGCTTTCACTGCTGTGGCTAAGTGAGTATCATTCTCTCTGCAAGCGTTACATAATCTATAAATATTGGCATACGACTAAGAAGATATAAGTTCATTTTTGACCTAGAAAATAGTTTACCAAAACTTGTAATCAGTTATAATAATAATCAGTTCTCTCTCTCTCTCTCTCTCTCTCTCTCTCTCTCTCTCTCTCTCTCTCTCTCTCTCTCTCTCTCTCTCTCTCTCTCTCTCTCTCTCTCTCTCTCTCTCTCTCTCTCTCTCTCTCTCTCTCTCTCTCTCTCTCTCTCTCTCTCTCTCTCTCTCTCTCTCTCTCTCTCTCTCTCTCTCTCTCTCTCTCTCTCTCTCTCTCTCTCTCTCTCTCTCTCTCTCTCTCTCTCTCTCTCAGGGAGCTTAAGCACCGGTCTATGAAGGATCCCAGTGAGAAGTTTAAGCTGCAGGAGTACGTAAACAAGGAGATGAAGAGCACAAGCTGCTGCAGGTCCTAAAGCCTGCCCTAGTTATTCTCTGGATCTGCGTGTGGGTGTGTGTATTTATGTGTGTGTGGATCACTTATCTTCAGCAGGTATACATACCTGGCCCGATCAGAGATGAGGAGTCACCTCCAACGAGGTATAAACCTTTCTGTCGTTCTGTTTCTCCACTCTCTCCACTGTCAAACCTCCCCGTCTCCGTCCACAGAACCTCCGTCTGTTGCCCCGCACTCATCTAACTGCCCTCTTCCATCTTGTATGTCCTGCTTTTCCTTACCCACCTCCTTCTGCAGCTGTGAATGTAGCCCCAGGTAATGGCTTAAAAAAGGCAAAGATAGGCGCTGCTCACCTAAGTTATTAACCTATTAATGGACCATTTTCTTCCGTGGTTGTAGCTGCATGATAATATATTTTAACCCCAGCATTGAAACGGAAACCTAGCAAATACCTGTGCATTACCATGTGTGTTTATTTTATTGCGAATTTAATGACCCCAAAATGTATGCTCTTTTTTGCAGACACAAGATACATGTCTTTTAAATTTATTTCTCAGAGTCATTTAAAATGTCAGCAACAGTGGTCATTTTGGTTGAATGTTCTCTTTTTGGTCAGCGTGTGGATGAACGTTCATATTATATTCATATTATAGGTGTATAGTGTCTTCTGTCCATGGTTCAGTGTCCATGTCTGTAATTCAACAGGCTCTTTGCAGCCAGTTTAGCTCACCAGCATAAACTCAATCAAGGATTTCCATGATTCAGCTGTGGGTATTTGGGAATGTGTTTTACTTCTTCTACAAGTAAACGCATGTTGCTATTTTGTATACAAGGAGATTAAGGACAGAATAGCATCATTAGCCACAATAAATTATTCTTTTAGTAGATTTGAATTCATGCTGGATGCAGAAATGAAGTATACAGTAGTTTAAAACAAACCTCCAGAAACATGGCAGTGCATGGGTCACAGAACCTAAAGCATTTGGGTTTGTTGTTATTTTTCGATATTAGAGGATCAATGCTGAGTCTTGGAGAACTTGAATTGCAACTTCTGTTCTTTATAATATTCAATTCTTTTGTTTTTAAATTGCTATTTAAAAACAGATGGCCAAACATGCTGTTTGTAATCTATATACACTGAGATTTTGACAAACATAATGTAAATACTTTTTTCTGCATGTAAAAAACTGTTTTGATCAAGGAGAATAGCATTTTAGATGGTAAATAAGAGCGTGGAGGAATAAAGACATACAGTATGTTGACAATGTTACCTAGAGTATTGTATGTGACACACAGATGAGTATCTTTTTTAATCTTTAATGTTTTATTTGTAGTCAAATGTGCAAACAGTAGTAGTCTGCTTTATTACCTGCTTTTTGTTTTGCTTTTATTTTCCATTCATGAATATATAAATGGGGTAAATGTAGTGCCATGTTTTCCTAACCAGTACATTTCTCATCTGCTATTTAACCTGTTCTTCATAAAAGATAGGCCTCTTTTTATATGACTGTTGCTTTGGTAGATTTCATCTTAGTCATTGAAACCATAGAAACAGAATATCTTGTGCAGTATTTACTGTGCATTTTTCCAATCTTGATGTTCAGAGTAATGTATTGATTTTTTGGTTTTACTACTTTTCAATGTGCAACTTCTTTCTTGTAACTGAAAATTAACTACAATAAAAAACAGAAGGTAATGTGGCCTTTACCCTTTTAATAGTGAACATATTTCAGATTCACTTACACAAATTGTACTCTTACACGACTCCACAGTGAGTTCAGAGCATGAGTTACAAAACAGTGTGTGTGGCAGTGATTTAACGGTTTGCTTGACCCCTGCTCTTCCAGCTTGAACAAAGGGGTCACTGCACAATCATTATAATGCTCTAAAACATCTTAATGCCTTTCTCTTCAGCACTTGCACAAATAATTTATAGTGCACACCTGCAGTCACTGGTTTGATGAGGTTAATGAGCCTGGACGTGCGTGCGTGCCTGTGTGCCTGTGTGCCTACGTTTGTGTGTGTGTGTGTGTTGGGGGGATAGTAAGTTTAAACCTTTCCTTTGTCTCCCTCTACTGGATAAATAGTTATACCACATGACCGTAAATGCTAAATTTGATCAGTTTTTATACGGTTTTACAAAAACGAGACAGAGGAATGCACGCCAATTCTGAAACGTGATAATAAACATCACTCGAAGCAGTTTATATTCAGCAGCTTGAATATGTACACAAAAAGCAAAAATAGCTTATTATACCTACAGTGCTTAGCATAACATTACAAGCTGTATATAGAAATTTAGACAGTTAAAAAAAATAAATACATTGAGAATTAAATATCATTGTAATCATACATGGAAATAAATGTGAGTGTGTGTGTGTGGGTATCTGTAAATCATGGTGTGTATAATTCCTTCTTCCTGACGCATTGCAGTCCTGTGTCCAGTAATGTTTGTTTTAGTCTGCACAGAACTGAGTAGAAGGGCACATTTTGCTATGCATGGTTAATTCAACATCTGAGTAATTTAAGTATGTATATATTTGGGATACTATATTACTGAGAACAGAGGGAACCGTATCTTTTGACATCTGAGTAGCAACAATTCTGATTTCTGCAAACAAGTCACGCACATAAGACATGACTTACCTCTTTCAAGTATGTAAGTTGCATAACAGATGAGCAAGTTTGGCTAACATTCTTGGAATTCAGGCTGTAGGTGAGGCTGGAGCCACTGTGGGAATGGTAACTGCGGTCTAAGCGTCTCACCTTGAGGTCCTTATCTCTGTGTCACCTTTAAAGCTAGGGTAGGTAATGTATTTTAGAAGCATTTTCTATATTTGTTGAAATTCTCTTTACACCCCAACGGCAATCAACAAATCAAATGCTCTGGGGGAAAATGTGGAATCTGTGGCTGCCACAGGCCTGTAATAAGCACTTGACTTGCCTACCTGCATGCATTCTGGCCATGCACTAATTGCACATGAAAATGTGTGTTTGGGGGCAGTAGCTTTGGAGGGAGGCCTGAAGGGAGGGGGTGGGATTTTTCCGTTGGATACTTTCAACGTTTATCCAACGTTACCTTCCACAACTTCAAGTTTTTATAAAGGCTTCCAATATGAGATATAAAATATATCTCTTCCACTCCTCATTCTGCACAAACGATTCATCCAACAGTCATGGTTTGTGCTTAAAATAGGCCTCCACTGCAGACAAAATGGGAAAAAATAACTATCAGACTCAGAAATTGAGGGAGGGGTGGGAGTTAAATAATGACTTTACGTGGTTGGGTGTTCAATTTACCTGCATACTCCTGAGGCAGCATTGGTCTGTTGATAACAGTCTCAAATGCAGCGATCCAGTCTTTCTGATCCTCTTCAGTCTCGCATGCACATAAGAACTTCCTTTCTGGGGTCACTATGGTGATTCCAAACTGCCAATGATTGCCCTGAATGTTCAGGGGGAGCCCAGCAAGCACAGTGTAGCTGTTATCCTTGCCACCAATGAAAACCTCACCTCGTGCATAGGCGTCCTGGAAGCAGAGGGAGAAACAGATACAGGTGTTGTTGAACACCAAGTTGTAGGTTCATTAAAAAACAACACATACTTCTAATTTGAATGACTGTGAATAACCATGTCTTATTTCAAAGGAAACACTGCTGGTTTGGCATGTTGATGAATAGCTGTCTAAAAGGGAAAATACTGAGTTTTTGTCCCTTCGAAATAGACAGACTGATGCAAAGTAGGAAAAAAAAGGTATAGCAACACCTGCTGGTCACAATGCGTAACTAAAGCATTTTCCTTCTGACATGCAGCTTTCATACCAGTGGATCTTTGAAGTACATGAGCCTCCTGTCATCCATCGTGAACCATCTCTTCTTGAAGCCCTCTGTGTGCTGTGGGACAGAAACATGTGGCAGCAGCTCAATTCAGAGAGCAACAAATGTCAAATGACATGGCTTTCATGTTCTGAAAGACGCTTTTGTAGGCTTTGCATATTTCCCTAACTTCTAAATCGTGTTGTGGGAAAGAATCAACAGAAAAAAGGCTCTACCTTTGGACCAGTCTTCTCCATGTAACCCTCCTTTAAGTAGTTCCTGGTTAACTTTGGCAACAACTAGACAAACAAAGAGCAAAGAATTACTCACTTATCAACCTTGTAAGTGCAAATGCGTGTGTGCATGTGCGTGTATGTACTCACATCAGAGACGGGAGCTCCAGGAAAAGCCACCTGCAGGTAGTGAAACCTGGCAGCTCTGATGGCGTTGAACCAATCTACCATTTCCTTTGAGACAAGACAACAGCAAGTTCGGTGACTGACTATTACTGCAATATCATCTCCTCACCTAGTGCCTAGTTACCTCCAGCACTACACACAGCACTAGACAAAATGGCTAGAAACGCCATTTGAAAAGCTCTAAGCCTTATAAATAAGTAGCTATTGTGAAGCATCATACAAGTAAACTTCAATTATACGCTGACTTGTAATGACAAACCATTTCCACAAGAGGGACACACATGCCTTTTCCTGCATCCTCCAACCCCCACCACCACCTAAAACACAGATCAGAGAGGCACCACGCCTCACCTTTCCATCCTCATGGTAAACAAAGATGTTCCTAGTGCTGTTGTCCTTCAAATAGTTTATCTGCAGGCCGTGGGCAGTGCCGATTTTTGTTGGCTGGAATGTGGCATTCACAGTATTGATCTTCATTATTGCTTTGGGCTCTCTTGCCTGCAGAGAGAAAAGACATGTTTAGAAGATAGTCAAAAGCTATAGTCCTGACTCTCCTACTCTCTTATCCTTCTTGAAATGATCTAACAGTACATGGAATAGAAAAGGATGCAGAAGTTTATTGTACATTACAGTAAATGAGACACAGTGTGACATTCCGGCAAATGAAAACATTACTCAGCTCCACTACTACTAACAAAGGTACTTTTAACACAGATCAAATACAGATTTTTTTTTTTTTTAATAGATAGAAAAAGGGAGAAAACACTCACATCATGCTTGTTGAAGTACTTCAAAACACCTTCCCGTTCAGATAGAATAAATTTTCGGCTGAGGTACTGTCCGTTGTCTCTGCCTCGTTTCCATAGAAACCCCTCTCTATAGCCTGTCAGGAGGGGAGACACAAGGGTCCCATATCATTGACAAGGAGCAGGAATACAGAGAGAGAAAAGAGAGGGCAGACTTTTAACATGATACTAATTAGAATACCCCAAAATCTAAAGGCACTGGTTCCCAACAACCGAAAGAGAATTGTGGTGTCTCCCTGGGACACAAATTTACAAAAATACTTCTACATTTTCAAACTATGGATAAAGGGCAAAACAAACGATGTATATGAAATGTATTTATGAATTGTTTTTTCAGGCATGCTAGAGTTGGAAAGCCAGATTCAAGTATGTTGTGCCAAATTGAATCCGCACATCTTGAAGGATTCTTCTTTGCAAAGAAAAAGAAGTGTTCAGACTTTCCCAGATACAGCGAATGTTTCGTTATTCATTTATTTAAAACCAAACCTTTCATTACTGAGCACTTCTCCACATATTGCACATTGAAGCATCTATAAACTCGTTCTTGTGCTTTAGTTTAGAGATCATAGGATTGACAGTGACAGATCACATACTACAAACATAAAAATCAGGTTAGGGAGAAGAGCGAGGGAAAGCCTCACGCAGCATCTGAGCTGAACAGACAAGTGTAGCAAAGAAGAACGCTCATTCACATATTTACATACTGAAAAAGTGTTCAGAATTTTACTCACTAAAAATGGCCCTGTGACCCATTTTGGGTCCCGACCCTAAGTTTGGGAAACACGCTGACAAAAGAGAAATTCATAAATGGTGACCACAGGGAACATAGAGCTTTGATCAACTGGACTATTAGATAAACTTAAAATTCTGTGAGTTGAATTTTTGGGGGCAGCAGAACAACTGACATATTATCACCTCAAAGTTGATATTGCAGACCTGTTAGCAAGTTGCCCATTTACACGCCCAGCAGACCCAGAGCAACATTAGCATTCTGTTTGGTGCCGTGCAGGTAGCATACATTGGGTTTATCAGAGAAAACAGCTGCCTGCTGCGAGTGGAAACGAGGCTGATGAGTGAAAGTATGAATGATAGTATCATGCCAGGAATCAAGTGGACATCTTCCTTCACTTGAATTAACCCCACAACATTTTCTTGGTAAATAAAATCTAATTAATGGTGATGCAGTACCTATTGTTTATTATCAAACTTTCCCTTGTGCTTATTCATCCAGTAAGTTGTGAGTTCAGTAAAACAGAATTTTTACATTACTTTCTGCAACAGTGGTCACCAAGAGTTTGAGACATCTTTAACGATGTAATATTACCCACAACAGTGACTGAGACACAATGCTGGTGGAAACCAGTGGAAGCTCCTACGTTGCAAAAAGCTGTAACATTGTTGACTTAATGTGTGTGAGTGTATGTGCACACTTTTAGCTTGTGGTCACCATTCTGAGCAACTCAGCAGAGGTGGGAGGAAACGCCTCTGCTGTTACTACACATAAATATTTCAGCTTCAAATGATGGCTTCCTCTACAAGCCTGAACATCACTGAAATAAACTCTCTCTCTTTCTCCCTCTCTAACACACACACACACACACACACACACACACACACACATCTTGTTGGCTGTGTTCCTGGGCCTGTTCCTGACACTGGCCTCTCTGCCCATAGCGTGAGCCAAGAGAGACAGCACTGCAGGGAGAATTGTGTTGTCATTGCCCTTTGCACACCCGGCCAACACAGGCGCAAGTAAACTCACTTACAGAAAAATACCTAAATTGGTTATTTGTTCATAAATATCTGAGAACTGGATTCTAATACTATAATAATCTGGATCTTTCTTCAATTTGAAGTCCACAATTTCATGTTTTTTTAAAGGTAGTGTTGGCAGATTCAAGTAGGACTGTTAATACAAGTAGTGTTAAGCAACTTTTACCACTTTTCAGCTTTTCTAATATTAGTTTTGTTTATTTTAGGTTTTTATAAATATAATAAACCCGTGAGGCTGACTCACAGCTTCACATAAATAGCACTTCACTGTTTTCTTGTGATTACATGAAAATATCAAAAAATAGCATACTACATTAGAGAGAACAGATAATCCACTTGCCCTGCAAGGAACCGTTCAATAAAAGCATTTAAACTGACAGCAAAGTGCCTCAGTGCTGGCATAGTATGAGCTAAAGTGCAATGCAATAAAAAGCAAAGCACAAAGGGAGATTTTGAGAGAAAATTACACAAATGGAGCTGAAATTAAGAAACACTTGTGTTTGTCTGCTGTCCACCCATTCCTTTGTCCCTTCCCTTGCTTTAGTTCCTTGCTGCTTTTTACAGCAATAAAGTTGCCGTGGTCACTTACAGAGAGCAATAAACTTCTAGTTGAGCAATGCCTTCATCAATTATTCATGAGTCCGAAGGTTTTGTTCCACCGCTGAGAGGAGAGGGTAAGACTGTTCTCAAAAACTTAACAGAGCAGAGGACAGAAGAGAATTCATTCGTTGTAACGGCGTGTCAAAGATTAGCAAAGCCAGTTTTGGACTATAGCATATGTCTATCCTTAGGTCCTCTACAGATCGCTACAACTGTCTCCTGGCCTGAAATTTAGGAGCAATGTTAGAATACACAAAAGAGGCCATTCTTCCTCTGTGGTACAGACACACAGCCACATGCTCCTAAACCTCTGCACAGCAAAACAAAACAGGCCATTGACAGAGAGGGAGAGAGACAGGGAGCAAGAGTTTGACAGTCATGAGACTCTGATAATGGCACTTTATCTCATCTACCTTAAAGTGAGATTGCGCTTTGGCTTTTTGAAACCGCACCAATCTGTTTGAGAAATTTCAGGCTGTAATTTAGCATTTCAGTTCACAGTGAAATCACTTCTTAAAACTAACCAGTGATGTTTCAACTGCAAAAGCAAGATGTTGCAATTGCAAGTGTAATCCTGTGACAAGTGGTTTTAGTCAAAGGGGAACTGTGTTGATTTGACTGACATTTTAATATGTTTCCTCATCATGGGGACTAGCTTGCAAGCTTCTGTAGCATCACTCAACCACACTTTACCGCCCATAACTTCCCGGGGGTGGGGTGGGGGGGGGGGGGGGGGTGGGGGGGTAACACAGTAATGCCTTTAAATGGTTACCAAAAATGGCCACAAACCTTGTCTTCTATCAGGTCAAACCAACATCAACTTCCTGTTGACCATCAGTTATTTTTATTAACACATCATAGCAGAGCATAATAGATATGCCTGACTATACTAACAGCTTCCTATTTTCAGCTGAGACTGTGCTAAATCCTCATGAGAAGCTGCAGCAGAACACTGAGTTTCTTAAAAAGCATCTACGTCTATGACCCGGTTACATTTAGACATCCTAGTAAGCCATGTTTATTAATGTATTTGTCGACAACCATGCATTATTGAACATCTGAAACTGATCAGCAATCAGGGTGGTGCCACTTTTTCTCTTTTAATGAGGCAGCACTGGGCAATTAGCCAAGAGTCTTTTGTCATATGTGACACCCACAGGCACATGATTCAGCGTCATAGACAAAGATAATGATTATGTAATACACATTTTGTAAAGATCTGACCTTATGCCTATGACAAAATGATTTCACACAATGATGAAAGGGCAAGACATATTGTAGTTAGGCATTAACAGATGGGTGTAGATAAGAAAAGGGCAGAAGGAGGACACCAAAGTTTTCTTCCCTTGATGACCAGCCTTCATTGCCTTGCAACATAAGCCTTGATGACACACCGTCTATCTGCCATATTACCTAACAAGCAGTCAGAAAATCCGACTGGTGGGCTAATTGGACTGGGCTATGTAAATGAGGAGTGGACAATGGTGCCTACTGTGCCATGAGATATTTATTATTACACCCTTTGATAGTGTAATGTACTTAGCAGGCCAAAAAGCACCTCCCACAACACACCTTGAACCAATGTTAAGTATGGAGCTGGAGTCGGATGTGGTTAGCTTAGTTTAACATAAAGACTGGAAGCAAGGAGGAACACCTAGCCTGGCTCTGTTCAAGGTGAAAAAATACCTTTACAGCTAACTTATAAACCTGATCATTTGTTTCAACTGCACATTCAAAGAAATGTAAAAACAAAAGTGTCAGGTTTTCAGAGTAGTTACAGAGTAGATACTGAACTACTCCCTTAAGTAGAGGCAGCAAAGTTGCGTGTGAGATGAGGCATCCCTTCCCTTCCTCTTTCACTCCTTATCTTGGATTTCATCAGCTGTTTTACCCAAGAATGTTGATAATGATAAATGGATGAGGCTGTTTCCATGCTGAGTATTCATTCAGCGCTGAATAGGTGGTGCTGTGTGAGACGCAGACAAATACTTGTTTTACTGAGCAAGCAAGGAGTATAATGTGTTTGTGCGTGTAACTGTACAGGGACGCATTTTATTCTTACCTGCCGAGTAGGGCTCCTGCTTCTCCACACACACAAACTCCTTCCTCTCGTACTTGGCTCGGATCCATTGTTCCCGCAGGAGCCTGCAAAACAGTTGGTGTTGATGTTCTCTTTATGCTTGAGCTAATTTGTTGGAAACGTCTCATTAACTTACATGGATATGGAGCCTCTTAGCGACATATATAAGACTCTTTGTGTTCCCTTGTTTGTATAATATAATACATATCTATCTCATTCACAGAGCATCATGCATAAACAAACGCCTTCCGTGTGTATCCATCTTCAGCATGCAAGATACCTCATTATTTCAGCATGTTTAACCAGCTATTTGGCTTTCAGCAAATCAGCATCACAGTATTTAATGTAATGGCTCTGTACAACAAGAGTGCTCAAAGCCCTACCCCCTTAGATTAGCATTTTTCTTTCTTCTTTATTCAGTCCTCCTTTCCTTTGTTGTGTGTTAAACAATCACCCCTCATAAACACAATGCAGGTCCATCCCAAAATTCACATCTCAGTGTTTTGTTGTGACATATTTATATTTATGTCACGGGACCGTTGAGAATGAACCCTTGTACTGAACTGTTGCTTCCTGTTCAAACTACAGGAACTTGTCATTCTTATCACTGAGGAGGTTCTGGCAACCAAGACCACTATGTTGTTGAATGCATCCATCCATATGATGAACAATAACTGCAGTCTTAAAGATGCTATAAATAATATTTTACTGTTTTTACTGTCTCAGGTTGTTTATTTATTTATTAGTTTATTTGACAGGGACAGTGTACATTAATTAACATTGCTGCAAATGCACCAGAATTAGCCAAAAGGCTATTTTTCATCCGTTGTCCCTGGACAGATCTTAAAATTGTCTACCTAGAAGATTACAGAGCAGTAAAACAGATATAACTCTTCAAATCCTGTTGATAAATACAGTGTACAAGTTTGCTATAATACAGACATTAGGTTAAAAAATAAATAAATAAATACATAAAAAGCGGAGAAGGTGAGGATATAAGTTGGTTTGCATAGTATACACTCAAACTACATGTTTCTGTGACCTTTTCAGGACCACAAAATGACTGTACACAAATGCACAACAATATTTTTATAATCAGCTAATTATAGAAAGAAAAAAAAAAAAACTTACATTTGCTGTATTGCAATTGTATTAGTTAGAATATTCTAACCTTAATGATGCCAGAGAAAAACAGCCCCAAGGTAAGTTTGTAATGTTCTATAGTATTTTTCACCAGCAGTGGTACTGCTAGTAGAGAGCTTGTGCGGGAGAGAGAGAAGAGTGTGAATATGGACAGATGTTTAAGTGATATAAAAAGTTACTATAGGCCTAGGATATAGTGTTTCTGTTCTTTGAACTCACTGTAGAACATTCCTATTGTAATACTATGACGTTATAGTAAATGTATAGTACTACTATGGTAACTTTCAATAGTGCATCCTAAAAATAAAATAAAAAATACATATAGAAAACACCACAGTAATAAACAATATAATAATAATTACTTCATTATAAGATCACCACTGGCAACTCAGTTATATTAATATAGTAATTTCCTAATGTTTGCTCCAAAAAAAAAAAAAAAAAAAAAAGTAGTAATACAGATAATCCTATTTTCATTTTTTATTATTATTGTGTTTTTTCTCTAGTAATTATGTTTAGCAATATTATAATGTTTTTGTAAGACCAGTCTCCTCCTCAAAGGCACACTGAGAGAAGGGCCGTCTATGCAATGATGTAATACTAAATGATGTGGGATACTCATGTTTTTTTATATTCATTTGAATGGCCAGTATGACTTATGTCTAATAGTTATTAACAACAAATTACAACAATTTGAGAACGCTACAGCAGGCAGCAAACTTGAACACCACCATACTGTATGTCAAAGCAGCCACAGCAGCTACCCAGTCAACAACAGGAACTAATGCATTGGAACTGAAGGAGGACGAGAGCGAAGCGACCAACGATAAGTTCATCATGGTTTATAATAATGCAGCGCAGTGAGGATACAGACGTTTCATAGAGGAGATCACCGTCCATCTCTGTTGAGACTCCGGTCTGCAGTGTAGTTCATTCGCTTAACTGATAAACCACAAAACTGTAGAGTAACATTAGGCAAAACTTTTTATATCACTTCCACACTTCTGTCCATATTCACGCTCCCTCTCTCTTTTGCCTGCACAAGGTCTCTTACATTTATCCATTTAGCTCAGCTGACCTACTATCCAAAGCGACTTACAATTGCTATGTATGTCAGAGGTTGCACGCCTCTGGAGCAACACAGGGTTAAGTGTCTTGCTCAGGCACATATTGGTGGATGTGTCACAGTGGGGAATTGAAAGGCATGTGTCTTATCCACTGCACCATCATCACCTCTCTCCCTCTCTCTCGCTCCCTCTCTCTCCCTCTCCCCGCTAGTCTGCATCATACTTTTTATAATGATCAACTTTTTTAGCCCAGGCTGAGGGGTTTTCAGCTCCCCTTCTTCTCTCCATGTCTCTGCCACCAGATTTTACTGACTATCACTATCATGTTTTATTTACAACACCTTTAACATTTGTACAAACCGTGTTTTTACATAGTCTGAGCTGTTCAAAATCAGGACAAACCAAGGATGAAAGGAAAAGAAACATTTCTACAGTGTCCCTCTGTGCTGCAGACATGTGCTAATCATTCTTACATTTAGAGGTGACCACTGGTACCTTGACCAGACATCAAGGTGGGAGGAGGGAGACACATCACTTACGTGCAGTCTTTGTGTGTGGGACAGTAGTAGAAGGCAGGAACTATCTGTTCATATTTGGCCTTGGCAGCATTGTTACCCGCAGAGTTCATAAACTGCAGAGAGAAGGAAGAGAAACATCTGATGTTTGTAATTGACATCTGTGTGTATTAGTGAAGGTGTATTTGGTTGATGAGGGCAGGTTGCACACTCCCACTCCCACACACACACACACACACACAATGAGATGCTTGCAGCTCAGCATTTGTCTGGCTGACACCTTGCCTAGAGGGAGACTGGGCTGCTGTCATGGCTGCTTCTTCTTTTGTGCCCCTCTATTTACTTCTGAGCATGCATTAGTACCACAGCTACGAAACAACAGCACGCATGCACGCACATACACACAAAGACATATAAATCAAGGAAGAGAAAGACAGAGAAAAAACAGCACACACCTTCCTTTGTTACACACATTCACACAGAGTGGACAGCAGCATGATACAGTTAATCTGACTGGACTAGATGTCCTCCTTGAAAGTTTCACTGTGAAATCGACCTGTCTGTCAAAAGAGTTCAGCAGTGCACACAACCAACACCCTCCCACACATTACACAAAGATATTGGTTGTATCTGCCAGCTGCTGGCTCGTGATTTTCAGGCCACGCTGCATTGAGACGGATGACTCGTCTAATTCTTCCAAGCAGGGATGAAGGGACGGAGCGGCAGGCAGAGAGTGCCGCTCACAGTGGAGCAGGCTCGGCTGGGTGAGGGCAAGGCCAGAGGCTGCAGACGTTTCTCCAAGCCTGGTTTCGGACTTTAATCAATGGCTGGTCTTCTTTCACAAAACACAGGGCTTTGTACTTTGTTCAGGATTTGTATGAATAAAATCATTCAACACTCTCTCTCCCTCACTCTCACACACACACACCCCAGACAGGAGTTCTCACCTCCACCTCAGAGGAGCTCCAGGGATCCAGCAGGATAGATTTCACCTTGCTGATCTGAGCAATGTTTCTATGGAGGCCTGAGCAGCTGTGACACACAAACACACCTAGGGTGTAGGATGCCCACTCCGGATCTGCAATACAGTATAAAGACACATGTAGGTGCATATAGAAACCATTCAAAGGTTTCAAAAAGTCTGTTTCTGACTAATTTCTGAACTTCCTAATAAGGAGGGCTCAACTGTACTTGAAGCAGGTTCACCATAGCAGACAACCAAAACAGTGGTTGATACATTATTACAGGCAGGCAGAACTATCACACTAGGGGAAATCAGTTCCACATCTATAGAATGTTTTTATATGATTACTATTGTAAACGTGTCAGAAATGTTAGCGGAGAACTGAGATAAAGGTTCAAGACATTGTAATGACAGAGTGTAGTTCAGATACTGGAGGCGACATACAGAAGAAAAAAAATGTGTTCACATCAGCCCATACCAGAAGCAAGTCACCCAATCAACCTAGATTTAACAACTCAGTCCACATCCTGCAGTGAATAAAGTTTAATATTATATCTTTTCTCAGAGGCAGGCACATTCATATATGTAGTTATATAGGTATATCATGATATACACACTTAATATCCGTTAAAGGCTCAAAGCTACCAAATTGGAGCTACAAGGTTTTGACTGAACATTTTAATGAATAAAGGAAATTCAGGTATATATAGCGTATATAACACAGCTTTACAGTGGGTCATTGCCTGGGTCCAGACCTTTGAATCCGTCCGCTCCACCAAGTTGACAACTGACAATTCTGACTGATACCAGGCAGAGTGTGTGAGCCATTCACAGTTACATTACATTTATCTCTCTAACCCAAAGAAACAAACATCAAAACAAACATTAACTTTTGTATGTCAACCCAGTTATGTTCCAGCACTCATGACATGGGAAGTGAAGGGTCAGAAAATAACACACTTCATTCACACATTTCTTTAAAGGGAGATAAAAGTGGAAGAAGTGTGCTGTGTGGAAAGCATACATTTTTGTAAGCCAAGGAGTAAATAACAAGACAGATTATTTTGCTGACAAGAAACAGTACACTATTCCATTTTAACTCAGGTCTGTGAACAGACAGGAACAAATGCAGCAAATGTGTGAATGCCTACACATACAGCTCCTCCTACACTACAAAGTTTCATATTCAGAATCATTACTCAGTGCAATGCAAGGTGAGATTACAGCTGCCGTGGTGGTTATTCTGTAACTGAGCCAGAGAACTGGGGCAGTGTCAAGTAGTGTGTATCAGCATGCTGCAGCCATTCAACCATTACTAATGAAGTCAACACACACTGCAAAAATAGCATGAGAACACCAAAAAAAACTCCATGACTTCCTTGTACATAATCACAAAGCTGCACACATGTAAGACCATGCATCTGTACACAAGAGACAAGAGGCTGATGTGCACTCAGCCACTCCCATCTTCTGTCCATTATGTGGGCCTGTTACAATCAACCAGTCTAACAGAGAAGTCTTCAAGAAGAGGATGCACACAAAGTCCGACAGCCAGCTACAAAATAATAAGACATAGCCCAAACAATCTCTGGTTTGAGCTTCCCAAAACTAAAAATATCTTTGTTTGATTAATCTGAAAAAATAATCATGTCACATTAATTGATAATGAAAACTGTTAAACTATTGTTGGGCTTCTGTAAATAACATCACAGAGTACGGTCTAGACCTGCTCTTTTATGAAAAGCGCTGTGAGATAACTGTTGTTGTGATTTGGCGCTATATAAATAAAACTGAATTGAATACAAAACAAGCGTTTACAACCCCTAAATATGAGCATCCTTTGAGAGACCTGCATGGATTAACAGACTTGAAGTGAGATGACTGAGTAAATGCTCTAATATATTTATTAGCCCATGGCATTTCACACTGGAGCTTCCAATATTTCAACAGTACCTTAGAGCCAGGAGCAGTACTAACATGATACATTCGGCTAACTAGAAGACTGGCTTTCACTCAGGCTTTAGATGATCATTTATTTCACAAACCACACCTGTTTGCCTAGGTTTTATTTCCTTCTTGTGTGCCCATGTACTGAACTGCAGGTCTAACAAGTGCATACCAACTATAGGTGTGACAATCAGAGTGTGTGACCTCCAGGAAAGATTTGGTCCCTCAGCAAACACAAAATACATCTGAAAAAGACACTACCTATGTATTAATGTATCATATTAATTATAGCCTATTTGGTAAATCATTTTAACATTGTTTAACATTACAAAAAGTGTAATAAAAGTCGCATAGGTCTAACCTACATGTGTTACTTATTTTTAAAGTTGTCTAGTTAAACGGATAGAAGCCTACTAAATAAATAGCCTACAGCTGGTTCTTAAATACATTATTTAGTTGCGCATATATTAGAGTCCTTACCATTGCTCTCTCTCTCTCTCTCTCTCTCTCTCACACACACACACATCATTATGTCAACTGTTTTATATTTCATAATCATGCCAAGGCCACATTTCGTGACTGAGAAAAGAAACTAAACGACCTTGTCCTCTCACGCGAAAAAGAACTGGAGACACGCTGTTAACTTGTTACAGCCTCCATATAGGCTTCAGTACATTTGTAGCTTAGCCTGTAATAACCCACATGAAGTGACTCCCCCTCTAGCCTACCTGCAGCTCCGCAGTCCACACAGTGTCCATTCCCAGGTTTCCCCAGAAGCTGTTTCATACGCTGTCTGTTCTTGTCTTGATCCGAAGTCATAATGCAAATGACTCTCCTCAGATGCCTGCTCAGCGGCTGAAAACCTCAAACTCTCATGCATCGAAAGTAAGATTGCCGCCGGGCGCGCGGGACTGAAATTGTAACGTCACAACGCGCTTTTAATAGAGAAAGATGTAGCTAGGCTAATGTGGTGAGGAGGAGGGTGGCTGAATAGTGGAGCGTGATCAGACTAGTGTAGATGCTGTAAAACTCATGTAGATACAACAATAAAGTGTAGGCTTTTAAAGCCTTGTCTCTGTCCCTCTCTAGAGTGAGACCCCCAGCGGCCATTAACGGTGTAAGGAAACGTGCTCACGACACTGACTGATCTTGTTTACACCCACATTCACCACTTTAGAGACTCAAAATATCTAACTAGGCCTATAACGTTAGGCTATTATTCCTGATCTCAAGATAGATGAACAGACGCGGTTTGTCAATAGTAGGCTAATTAGTGGGGAATTGTTCCCTTAAGATTTTTCGTTTAAACACAAACGTCACTTTACTGCAATGAATCCTTGATATGTTATAAATGTGGTGCAGGAGGCTCACTCTGGGCTATAGCCAGGATTTTAGAAATATTCCAAAAGTCATAACTAAGTCCTAAAATTGTCCCAGAAGCACCTACCCATCCACCTAAAGAAATTTGAGAAGTTACCACCAAACTCAAACATCATGGTCTGCCTGTTATGTAGGCCTACTTGTGGTGCAGGTAAACTTCTAAATCCCTGTCATTTTAGTTGATTTTAATGGAGTTGTAAACTGAGATTCAGGACGCCTGTCTCTCACTAATTCGACCGCAGTGCCTCATTCAATTCCTCCAATCAACCACCTGTGCTTCACTCATTTCATCCACCTGTGCCTCTCTAATCCAATCCGTTTTTCAGTTCTTACATCTCTTTCACCCAAACTGTTTTTTTTTCTCCACCTATTTTAATGGGCAGCATGGTGGCCCAGTGGACAGCACTGTAGCCTCACAGCAAGAAGGTTCTGGGTTTAGACTTCGCTCAGCCCAGGCCTTTCTGTGCAGAGTTTGCACGTTCTACCCGTGTTTGCATGGGTTTCCCCTGGGTGCTCTGGTTTCCTCCCACCATGAAATACATGTATGCTAAAATCCACAATTCTGCCAAGTAATCATTTTGTCTTTTTCTACAGCGGAACCAAAGGAGGGTTCATAAGACCAAGCCACTTGTCGAGACGAGCCCCCACCCTGAGTCTCGGCCCCTCAACGACCTCCTTGACCCCTTCATCCCTCTCCCCTTGACCCCCTTTCATAACTATTCATTACAATAAACCACTATAAGATCAAACATTGGCATGGTCCTTGTTAGTGAATTTATTTCCATGAAATTTAGGCCAAAAATGTCACTTGTGGCTGATTAGACCTGCACTCAAGTTGAAGGTGTGCGGCACTACGTTGGGATTTATGTGTCACCAGACCCTGTGAACCAATTATGTAGACATAATAAGTAAAATCACATATGCGGATTTACACAGTCTGCCTTTTTTATTTTGTGACATCACAGGAAAACCACTGGTGTAGAGGAGGTAGACAGCAAAAAGTGCCCTCTTGGATGCCCCCTTCCAGTTGAGAAAAGGTGATGCAGGGCCCAAAATGTGATAAAGGTCTCTCTAGGGTGCCCTTCTAGTAGCGACAACATGACTAATGCACTAATGGGTGCCCTTAAAATGGAGAAAACGCGATGCAGTGCCATATAGGCTGCTCTACATGCTAGAGAGGGGTTTGGAACTGTTTCATCACTGCATGCAGCACGTGCCCGTTTTATTTTTCTTGCCCCTGCCCCACCGCCTGAGTCTGCCATTGGACGAGTACATAAGTTATAGCTTTCGCTACCCTTCTAAAATGTATTATAAGGACACTGTGCTGGTTTCCGTGCGAAATGTTCCTTTAGTGTTGCCTGCCACAAATCAAAACCATTCATATAAGTTAATGTGTACCATTTTCCACAGATCTCATCTCAATCTACAGTACCCTCTACGAGGGCACACACATCAGGGATTATGGTGTTGTTCCTGAATTGTGTGCACATTGCTGTCTATGTATTTGGTTAACTTTCATTTCAATGTAAGGCAGACACCTTAAACGTTAACATGTTCTCCATAGATTATGTAAGGGTATGTTGAGCAAAACGAAGCTGGCAGGCACTGAGCCAAGAAGCTTAACAGCGAAGGCCTTTCAGAATCTTCACCTCTTTCAAACTGAGCTTACATACTGTGCGTGTTTCAGCATTTTTATTTTTCAAAATGTCTAAAAAATTCAGTACATTGTAAAAACAAGTCACACTTGAAAAGAAATACATGTAGATTTCAGTGGAGCCTAAACTTAAACAACAGAAATACCGAGGCAGATTTTCAGAATCAACAAAAACAAAACATGAAGAGAAATTCACATTTTGCACACACAAAAATAAAAACACTCTCCCACTTTCTACATGCAGGCAGATGTTTATGTTGGCTACAACGCAGTTGGTTTATTTCTGGGTGAGTCCATAAGACCTGGGAAAGCAGGAACTCCAATCAATCTAAGAGATCACTTTGTATCAGGAGGCAAGAAACATCTCTATCTGGAGGAGTTAGAGCTGGAACGAGAGCGGTGACGCCTGCGACCAGGAGATCTGGAGCGAGAGCGACGGCGTGCTGGGGACCGCCTCCTTGGGGAGCGGGACCTGCAAGGACAACAATAATTGCAATTGGAAGGCAGGAAGAATGAGCAGACCGCATGGTCTGAACCAAAGAACATATGCATATATTCACATAATATACAACAGTAGTGGGAAATCAAATGCACATGGACATACTGTTACTGACTGAAACTCATTTAATGTACCTTCTCCTCATGCGCGGTGGACTGCGACGCCACATAGGTGGTGGCGGGGGCATTCTACGAGGGGGAGATGGTCTACGAGGTGGAGGACGGACCCGTTGAGTCAGCACGGCAGATGCAGTGATTTCCTGTCCGTCAATCTGACCTATCAATAACAAAGTCATCACAGAAAGTTATCCAACACGTATGCACAGAGTAATCCTGCAAAACAGAGGCAACAGAACACTCTGGCCTACCTCCGTCCATGTGTTTGAGGGCTTTCTGGGCCTCGTCAGAAGTCTCAAACTCAACATAAGCGTAGCCCCTGGACAGATGAGGGTGGTTCCTGTCTACTGGCATTTCGACCATTTTGATTTTTCCATAAGTGGAAAAGATCTCCTGGATGTGGTCCTGTGCAAAAAAAAAGACACAAAGCGTCAGAACCATGTTATCAGAAAACTTTAATTTATCTGAGGAGTTATGTTGTTATTGTTTATGTGCAAAATTATCTGAATTAATACTACATAAAATTGACTGCCGACAACAATAAGGAAATTAAAAGCCTGTTTACTGGACCATAGTCATAATGAATTAACATAACATTATCTCAAAAATTCTTCCTTTATTATTTTTCACTTTCTACAATTCCAGTTTGACATTAGGAATGTGGATGTTCTCATCTACCCAACATGACGTTTTTGAGCTAGTGCTATAATCTCAAATCATGTTAAATCATATTCATGTGTTCTGCAGTAAAAAGGCTTAACTTCTCAGCTGACCTTGGTGACATTCCTGGTCAGCCGCCCTAAATGAACTTTAGTTGGTTTTGGACTTGGGCTTCTTTTCCTTCGCTCCTTATCATCTCCCCTCTTCTGTGTTTTGGACCTGCAAGATCACAAACAAAACACTGATTAACGTCATCATGATTCAGACAAGTGAAAATACAAGACACCAGAGTGTAAAAATATCATGTAGCTGCATTAGATGGTAGGAGGAGTTACGCTGAGCGGGAGCGGCGGCGGTTGTCATGGCGTCTACGGCTGGGGCTGGGGGAGCCTGACGAGCTTGAAGAGGAGGAGGAACGAGAGCTTGAAGAACCCGAGCGGCTAGAACCAGATGAGCTGGATCCACTTGAGGAACCGGAGCTCGAACCAGAGCTGCTGCTTGAAGTGGAGCTAGATCTGGACCTGGTCAAAGCAAAGTGGGGGGGATACACGTTCGGTTAGAAAACACACGTATTTAAGACTGATTTTGTCACTAACAAAAACAGATAATTACATAAGGAGGTAACTTAGAAAACAAACCTGCTGCTGCTACTGCCAGTGGAAGCGCTGCGGCGTCTTTTTACTTTCTCCCGTCCTCTCTCCTTGTCTCCGTCCTTGGTACCAGTTTTTTCTTTGCCTCTGTCTTTTGTTTTTTCCTCCTCCTTCCGCTTTGTGGGGGATGGTGCCCTAAAGTCAAGAGGAAAGCAGCTGTTATCATAGAAGTTGTGAATGGTTTAGGGCTGCAAGTACAAATTATGTCAATTAATCTGTGGATAATATTTCTGACTAATCATTTGGTCTATAAAATGTCAGAAAACAGTGAAGAGTCCAAGCTAACCAGGCTAAGGGCCCCACCTCTCTTTGTAGGGCCATTTAAAGCGTGGAAATCAAATCTTCGTCTTCAAAGTGCTATTTTGTCCAACCAAAACTCCAAAACGGAAAGATATTTAAACTACTGGGATCCAAACAGGATTTGCTTCAGAAACAAAACTTTAGAGAAGCTGCAGTCAACTTTAAATGAGATGTTGGGCAACTAAAAAGATTAAAGTTACTCAATTATCAAACGTGTTGGCCACAAATTGCCTGTCAACTATTGAAATATTGTTTCTGACCCAATGTAACTGAACATGATCCAGCAATGTATTCGTTACTATAAATATCATAAACGACTTCAAAACCAAAAGGGAGTAAGTTATCGAGGAAACTATGGTGTTTAGAGTGTGAACTTCCAGCTGAGACTAAACACAAAGCGTAACGTTAACACATTCTGAACAAATCGGAGGTAAAACGCCGTAATACTGCAAGAATTACATGACTGACAACTTTTTTGACTTTTAAAAAATGTCGGTGGCTTTAATGTTATTGTAGTGACTGCATATATAATTTAATATTACCGCCGTTATTGCTGAAACATCACCGACTAGTAAACTTCACTCCCAACAACTGTGATCTCGAACAGAAATCCGCCGCCATTGATTTCGATACTGACTCCTCAAAACAACGAGCGGAGCTCCTCTTTATAACTCACTACTCTATTCATTTAGTTCACAAACGGCTATTAAATCTGACGCAAACGTCGGCATGTTACACAAATGTGTACTGGAATTTAAAACCAGCTCGGCTGCACTTCAGTAAAAGGGTAAACTTACATTTCTTTCAAACGCGGTGATTTCGTTCCAGCCACTTGCTGCCAGAGGAAACGTCGCTCGGTGATGACGACAAAGCGGAAGTTACGTCTCTACCTCAGCGCCACTTACAACTCATTTGTTTATTTATGTTGTCAATAAAAATGTGAGTGTGTGACTACATCGTAGCTATTCAAATACGAAATGTTTAATCATGGTACGTGATATGATTTAACCAAATAGGAAACACCAATCTCTTCCCTCTTGTCGAGGCGGTTTCGCAAAGGTGAGCACTTTAATATGTTAACCGTTACTGTGTTAGCTAGAGCCTTCGGTGTTAGCTAACTAGCTCTGCTATTAGTTACAGATGAAGTTAATACCAGGTTACTGCAGCGTATTCCTCCAACCACACGACAAATATGTTTCACCAATCCAATGTATAACTATTCAAGTTTTTTCATGTGAGGATTGGTAACGTATATATTTTAATTATTTTGCTTTACTGAGATAGGTTGTGTGATAAAGTAACATGTTGTAATAAGGAGAAACGTTTTTTGTTATAACTGGAAAGATCAATAATAACTCTTGTTATAACTGAGCTGTTTGTTTTTTTCGTTATGTGGCAGCAATACACTGCTGCATCACTGGTGTTTTCACATCACACAGAAGTCCGGGGGGGATTCACATTGTTTACATTTATTTCTCAGTATTAAACACACACCACGTCTTAGTTACAGTTTTTTGTTATTTTATTAATCCTCTAAAGATTAACAGCCAAACTCACAGAGTCCCTCTGGAGTGAGAGATCATGGGCCGGCTGGATGATGCCGCCAAGCACAAAGTAGTGGAGCTGCGGAAGGCTGGTCTGAGTTTCCGTAAGATCAAAGCTGTGCTGGAGCTGGAGAACATCAAGGTGTCTGCCCAGGCCATCTACCTGTTCCTGAGGGAGTTTCAAGGGAGGCCGCCAGGGAGGGTTAGACCTGTGGAGGCTGGAAGCAGCACATCATCAGCACAAGTGCAGCCTCGATCTGGCCCAATACAAGAGAACTGGAGTAACATTCATCTCCAAAACCTTATGCGGGAGGCATCTCACCATCCTGGCTTTACAGCACCTGCAAACTTTGCCAAACAGACTTCCACAAATCCGGATACTGGTGCAAAGCCTTCTGGACCTGGGGAGATCTGTGGAGGTACCAGGCTAGAACAGCAACATGAGGGAGATAAGGAAGAAAATGACATCCAGATTGTTAGTGTCACCTCCCTTGCACAGAACAGCCAACGAAGAAGTCCCCAGTCCTCTGTAACAAGGGCAGAGACAGGTGCTGTGTCTTCCACAATAACAGCTTCTGGAGCATACATGAGGAGGAGGGTCACACCGTCTCCAGCCACTAATTCAATGCTGGCAGCTCGAAAGAGACTTTTGGATAAAGCGCTGTCACACAGGATGAAGGCACGTACTTATACATAATTTCTCCCATGTGTCACAATCTCAATTGTTATGCCTGTTGTTATTATTGTGGACAATAGTACAAAACTGCAATTGTCAAATACCACAAGAATCAAATCATTTTGTATACTTAATTTGCATACATTGCTTTTCAACAGTCATTCCACCAGGTGGCATCATTGTTGAGGAGAGATCACTTGAGTGTCCAAGGTGCTGATTTGAGAAATGCAATGCCACAACCACCTGAAACGTATGATCTGACCACTGAAAAGGTGAGAAAAGAGCAAACATTAAATGCTATAAGTTATCTCTTTTATTTTGGTGAATAATCTTAAAGTGTGTGCCAGCCCATACTGTCACTTCTTGTGACCGGGTCACAGTACCTGTATAATCAATGTTTTGCACCAATAGCTGGTACTAGGCAGTGTTCAAGCACTCATCCTCACCTAGTTCTGGGAGCCTGACCAATTTTGACCAAGTTTTATGTAAATAAGATTACATTATAACTTTTCATAGTTTTCCCCTGTTTTCATGATCTTTTTTTCATGTTGCACAGACTGTTATGGAAAGTCAGCCTGGAGGAGGTGGTGCCCCCAGGCAATTTCTCACACAGAGACCAGGTCTGTCTGTCCGTTCCCAACACCCTGTCCCTCGGGTTGGTATTCGTCTTCCTAATCAGCCACCATCACCTTTAACATCCTCTGCTCCTGGGGTGGCCACCATCCATCTACAGAACCCTGGAAGCCAGGGCACAACTCGTAGTGACAGGAACCCGAGCCCCAACAGGCAGTCCAGGACGCCGGAGGGAGAAGTGGTCTGCAGGATCAAATTCAGACCCTGGGCTCTGAGGTGCGCAGCTTGGGTCTGGCAGTGAAGATGCTAGTGGAGCAGCAGTGCCGCCTGGAGAGGGAGCAGGCACAGCAGACGCACATTCAGAAGCAGATCCTCAGCACTCTCCAGAGTTTTGCTTCCAAACTGGGACGCTGTAGCAGTGTTCAACAGCAGCACAACAAAACTCCATCACCCTCTGGTTTGCCAACAGCTTCTGCATCTACCTCCTTCAGCCAAGACACCTTCAACTTCAGCCATGGCACGTACACTCAGTGCAGCCAAACCCAGCCAAGCTACAACTCTTTAGAGAGTTTAGAAAATGTAGAGGCCTTTAAATTGCCAAGACTGAGCCCTTCAAGCATAAATGGGTTTCCGCCATGTACAAATGCCGAGAACCTCCCACTTACTCACTCTCCCCCTCAGACACAAGCATATGCAGCTGCATATCCACCGCAAAACAGTCAAACACTCATGCCACCCTACACACAGTCCTATGTCTCTACATACAACCAGTCACATGCTCAGACTTTCAGAGGATCAGAGAGTAAAACATCAGATTTCCAAAGCAGCTGTCCAACGAGGACTCTCCAGGATTGCAGTGTGTCAACCCAGCCGGTGATGAATAACCACTCGTCACAGGATCAGCAAATCAATATCATCAAAGTGGAAGGACCTTAGAGGGCTTCAGGTGCTTTTTGGGACCAATAGGGCTTGGATGTGCTTTCTTAGAGTCACTTTAGAGTACCTCTGTAAGACACATGTTTTTACAAAGAACATAATGCTGTAGCATTTCTTAAATTAATTAATTTTATTTCCAAAGTACATTTTAAGAAAATATAAACAGCAATAGAATAAATGGATGGCTTTAGTAATAACATGCTAAGGATTTGTCTTTACTATGGCGAATGATTACAAAATTAGAGAAATTGACACATGCATTTTTTTAACAACACTTTTATTTTTACCTATTATTTTTATATACTGGCATTACAAACTGTTTGTTTTCATACCACTATAACTAATTAACAAAATAAAGAGATGGTTATGATCCAAAGCACGATCCCATTTCAGTGTGTCAGTCACTGTTAACATATTGAGACGTTTTCCCAGAAATGCGTGTTCCATAAAATTTTATCATAAAAAGTTTATTAAGTGCTATAGAGTTTAGTATACAGATAAAACAGTGAGATCAGCATGTTGGCAGCAAGCAGCAGAAGCATACCAAAGGTGCAGTTCATCTCACGTCCTGCGCTGGAGGACTGAAATTTAAGAGCTGTAGTTTAATGTATAAGCATAACTACTAAAACTAAACTAAGATAATATAAACTGAATATTGTGATTAATTATAGGCTTCATATTATTATATGCACTTACCTGCAGAAAACGGTAGAAAAGCGTCTCTCTTTCTAAAATTCCCTTCCTTATCTAGGAAATGGGCTGGGTTGAAGATGTAAGGCTTTTCCCATTCATCTTCATCCTGAAGTGCAGATGACAGCAGAACAAGCACAGGAGTGCCCTAAAATATGTTGGAGATGATAACACGTTTTAAGGTTGTACATGTTTCAGTATTATGATGGCTGGGAATACTTTATGGCAATGCAAATTATAACATTGTAGCCCATTTTTTAGATCACAGCTTCACCAGAAAACACATCCAGCTTCATCCTCTGAGAAATCTGAATCAGTTCTTTGAGACAAACCACTGAGTCCTGCCCAACACTGGAGGCTGTAGCTAATAGATCAACAGCAAAATCTTTGGAGTTTGGTGAATGACATTTCACCCCCCCAAACTACCTCAAATCAAGTCAACATTTTAACTATAAATGTAGTAAGGAATTTGAGAGGACACCTCATAGTGACACAGAAAACTCCACATCCACTGTATATTGGGGTAAAGAACTGCTGTAATCAGAGGAAGAATCAAATTTGTGAAGGTTAGTTTATCACACGCTATTCCTTACACTGCACACAATATAACTGAATTAAGTGAATTAAAGCATTCTCACCAACCAAACTCAATGGACAAGGTGTATTGTATAACTTTGGTGGGAACACAGCATGTCAAGTAGTGGGGGGTTTAAAAGTTGTTTTACCTTCTTGATGAAGTAGCCCTTGAAGGTGACATCTCGGGAGGTGCAACGTAAAACTAAGGGGGCAGTGCTGACAAATCTCTGTAGTTCATGGATGACTGCATTAGTGTATGGTAGATTTTTCCTGTCCTCTACCCGGACCTGACGGCTTCCTACCACCCTGCCAAGCTCCTCCTGGACCTGGTCTGGGAGATTAAAAATGAGAACAGGCTAATTAGTATACAGCCATGGAGGTGCTGTAACATGGGCTTCCAATCAACTGTGTGCCCTCTTATTTTGAGCCATCCACTACCAATATATTAACTGAAGAGACCATGAAAACTCCGATTTTGTTTGTTGTTCTTTGGTCAAAGCTGGGCTACTCCTCTGGCTGGAGGTCTTCGGGATTGTGAAGAGGGTAAGTCTCAGGAGGCTCTTCCCAACCATAATATGGCAATCACAAATGTCTACCTCTCTGAGCAAAGTCATCCTCATCGCACTTCTGATACCAATGGCATAAATCAGGGTTTGCAGGTTGAGTTACGTAAGTATTAAAGGATTCACTGAATATGTTGCCTGGGGAAGATATGTAGAGATAGTTGTCTTACTCGGAAACGCTGAGGTTGTGCTAAACATAGTTTTACAAATGAGAGGCCAAGTCTTGAAGAAACAAGATTTTGATCAATAAATGTTTCATGAAATATTTGTGTTCCTTACCTTGTATCTTTGGATACTTGGCCATGAGCAGTAAGCCAAATCTAATAGTAGAGGACGTAGAGTCAGTGCCAGCAGCAAACAGGTTGACAACAGTCATCAGTAGGTTGTCGTCATGGTAGTAAGAATACATATTCCCGGATGCCTTACAAGCATTGAAACAATGAAAACAAATATATAAGTAACACAATTACATTCGAAAGAAGTAGTCAACTTCTAAGATACCTTGTGTTCACTTTATCAAATATGTCACACTAATATTAGGATAATAAACCAGCTTCATATGAGGTATAGCTACTTGTTACTACTAAGCAGTAACCATTTTGCATTGGGTGATTCAGTAACTTTGTTAACCGGGTCATATGTACAATAACCACTTGTTTATATAATACACAAATTCTAACTAATTATACTTAATACTGTGTACTGTCCATTTGTAAAGTTGAAGTTCAACAATCCTGCATTTCTTCTTCTTGTTTACCTCAAGTTGTATCTTTCGGGCCAGAAAGGCATCCACCAAACCTCTGCACATCTGTGGATCAAGGGTGTCCTGTAAACCCTTGATCAACTTTGTCATGCATCTCCTATTAGCAAACGCATTCTTCATCAGTTGCTTTCGAGCTCCAAGCCAACTGAACAGCCATGGAAAATGGTTATAAACTGTTGAACAAACAAGCATTTTAGACCTAGTAACAAATGTATTGTTATTTTTTGTTAATTTAGTATCTGCTTACTTAGGGGCACTTAAGGATTAACATATCAACCTACATATCCACTACATTTGATTATATAAAATGTATTTATATAATAAACTTTATTTATAGAAAAAAGTAAAAAGTGCTTCACAAGACACAGAGAGAAAGATTAGATACCACCATCCACCACAGTGGATGAAAAAATCCCATGCCAGAGGATCTCATAGTACGTAAAAGCTTATAAAGAACTTAAAAGATCCAAAATATAATCTGGAGCCAGGTCATGGAGAGCCTTAAAAGTCGTAGTCCATACGATCTTAAAACCAATCCTACAACAAACAGGGAGCCTCGTTACCAATGTAAGGAGGCTAAAACAGATGACCTCTTGGTTCTGGTTAAAAGCCTAGCAGCTGAGTTCTGTATAGTCTGTAGTTTCAAAGATTTGGGATTAAGACAAGAGATGACATTTGTTCCATGTGGAGTACTTGGAAATGACCACATTGCTAGCCCAATACTCCAGATGAGAGGGAGGTTCTTTGCTATAATTCCTCTCCCTGTGCCTCATTCATTCACACTACTGGATTGTGTTATCCATATCCGTGCTCTATCAACTCATCTCCTTTAACAGATATTGGCAGACACAGATATTTTCTTATATCTAAACCTTTCCAATTTAACTAACTTTAATGTCATTGAACTGTAAGAAACTCTAATCTTGCTACATGGTGAAAGTGCTAACCAATGAGCCACCACAATGCACATTCAGTGCTCTGTAGCTTGTTAATGATATGGTTTGCCCTTTCCTCATGCACACTCTGGTCACACAGAGCAGAATGTCTTGACATTAAAGTTAAAGAGTAACCCAGTGTGACCAGGTCTGACTGGATTTATTGTAAATATTGTACAACTGAGTTAGGTAGTATTTGCACTTGAAAAAATAACTTAACTTTGTAAGTTAATAATTACACTTGGCACATGTGTTCTCTTCTGGCAGGTTAGGTACATGGCTCCACCTGAAAGAGCGAGGAGTTCTTACAAGTGCTTACATTTGGCCATAAACTGATAAACAGCTGTTAAATCAAGTTCTGTTTAGTTTATGCAGTAACATCTATGTGCTATATATTTCAATTTAGAAGTTTGCTAGGGCATTAGTTTGGCGAACATTGTTAAAGTTGTTTGTACAAACACTTACCTGTCCTGTCTTGTGTCTGCTCAAGGTTGTTTGGCCAAAAGAGTCGTCAAATTGGGATTGCAATGAACAGTGTGTTTAAATAAAACATATCTGTTCTGTTGTTAGTTGATTCAAGTATGATAAATTAAGGAACAATGTCTTACATTTGTTATATGTGAAGATTTTTATTCAAAAATATTAGTTGTTTTGCTGTTTTGGGGCTGAGTCATTTTATTTTTTATTTTTACAGATTACCTCCCCAGCCTTCAAAAACCTTTGTTCACATGAAACACATGGTGCTGGCTTACATCAGTATTATTTTTGGCATTATATACAGGTGCAGATATACAGCACATCGCTCCTGCCAATAAATCAAAGAAGTTCCCACACCAAAGACCAGGATCTCTTACATATCTTCTATACCTTCTCTATCTTAATCTACACTATTAATCTATCTACACACCTATCAAATTGCTATCTCTCACCATTCTTGTGCTATCTCTCTCTATCACTATATATATACTCTATATGTCTAGATGTGTGGTTTGTTCTAAACACTGTCAATCAAGCGTAGAAGCAACAAGTATTGCTCCCGTGGAAACAAGGGTGAAAAGCACCAAAGCTTCACTAAACCAAGGTCACATGACTTTGACATTTTGAACCACGCTTTGGAGCAGTGTTTCAAAACATCTGTGCTTCAGGATCCTGAAACAGCTTTTAAATGTCAGTGTTGAACTTCCCATCCCTATAAAAGACTTGGTTTGGTATACCACGCCATCGCTTTGGCCTCTCTGTCTACTACATTATCCAGCCATGACATGGTCATTCTAACAGAGGTCAGCGGAGGTCAGTGAAGCACTAGAATACCTGTACTGAAGGACAGCCCATGAGTTGAGTGTTCTTAGTGGCTCGATCCACCATCAGTCTGAACTCTGGGTCATCATATTCAAATCTGTTGCCATAAACAATGCAACATATGATGTTGGAGACAGCATAGTTTACTGGCTGGGCTGGGTCAAAGGCCTTAGCTACAAGAGAAAAGGTTTAGTGGTTTCAGTGGCATAATTCTCCAGTTAAAAACTTTTACATACTATGTTGCCATAGATACAGTAATAGTAGTTAATGCAGCATAATTCACTGGTGTGTTTGTATTAAAGACTTCACCAAAAGACAAAAAAAATGTATGTACCATAATCTGGTTACTTTCTTTTGCTTTAAAGACTTCATCCAAGCGTTGACACTCCTCTAAGATTTTCTCTTCGGATGCATTTTTGCCCATTCCAAAGTCTTTCAGGTTAGTCAATGCAAATTGCCTAATTTCTTTCCACGAGTCTCCATTAGCAAATACAATTCCTGCAAAATGTTTATGTTTTTTTCATTTGAATATGAAATTCTTTGTAAATTATCA